TTTTTTTTTTTTTTTTTTGTGGAACTGGGGATTGAACTTGGGCCCTTATGCTTGCCAAGGAAGCGCTTATTCCACTGAGCCATCTCCCCGGCCCCACCCTGGCCTCTTAAAAGTTGCTTTTTATCAGAAATATTTCTACAGTAAGTGAAGAAGGGATTACTGTTAGAACATCATTTTACAGCTTTGTATGTATATATGTATGTATGTATGCATGCATGTATTGAACACAGGGTCTATCAGGTCAGAGTTGCAGTGATCCTCCTGTCTCAGCCTCCCGAGCCCTGGCACTACAGCCAGGTGTCGCCATGCCCTGTTACGGGGTGGCATGGTGCACCGGGTTTCTGGGTCAGCATGGCATATGGCACTGGGGTTGAACTTGGTTCCTTGTGCTTGCCAGCTAAGTGCTTAGACCACTGAGCTATCTCCAGTGCTGCAGCTCTTAAGGAGACACTGAACACCAACAGCTGCTGTAGAACACAGAAACAATCTGTACTGCCTAACTACTAACCCCATCAAGAGAAATAACAATGGAGGAAAAACTGTACCCAGTAAGTTTTCTAGATCTAAGTTATCTGAAATAGAAGTACAGAGAGAACACATTACATTGCACAACAGTGTGTAGTGTGTATTTCAAAGAGAGAATTTTCAATTTTCTCACCATAAATGATGTATTTTTGAGAGCAAGTATGTTTAACCTGATATAAAACATTATACAACATATATGGCATTATGATATACAATTGTTGTTTTAATGGTAATGTCTACCAAAGATACAAATGTATGATTCTTGTAATCTGTTTCTAGAAAGTTATCTGTTTCTAACTCTTTCTAGGAAGTAATCTCACATGATCAACATTGCTAAGGCTGGAATAAACAGAGGAGCCTCTGGAATAAGGAGCATGCCTCACAAATCCATAGCTTCGAGGCTAGGAGAAGGAAAACCAGGGCTTTTTGGACTACTAACCCCAAAGAAACTGTTCATTCAAAAATACAGAAGAGGGCTGGGGAGATGGCTCAGTAGAATAAGCGCTTCCCTGGCAAGCGCAAGGGCCTGAGTTCAATCTCCAGTTCCATAAAAAAAAAAAAAAGGGGGTGCTATCATTTCAGGCGGCTTGTGCTCACTAGAGTTGAAAAAAAAAAAAAAAACAGAAGAAAACTGGGCATCGTGGCACACACCTATAAATCCCAGCACTTTGGAGGCTCAAGCAGGAAGAGTGCCACAAGTTCAAAGCCAGCCTGGGCTACACGGTGAGTTCATGGCCAGCCTGAACATGGCAAGACCCTGTCTCTAAATAAGCAAACAAAGAAATATCAAAGCAGGGGGCTTTTTTTTTGTTTTGTTTTTAGGCTTTTGTTTCTTTCGTTCCTCTACTCTTCTGTCTTCTTTTAACTTTTCCTATTTTTACTTCTCCATATTATTTTTCTCCTTTTCTTCCTATTACGTTTGTTTTTTTTTTTAAATTCTTTTATTTATTTATGTGTGTGTGTGTGTGTGTGTGTGTGTGTGTGTGTGTGTGTGTGTGGCCAGCTCAGCCTACCAGGGGGCGGGGCTGGCTGGCATGTGGTGCTGGGGGATTGAACCGCGGTTCCTGTGCTTTGTTAAGCTTGTTCTAAGTAGGTGCTTTAGACCACTGAGCCATCTCACCAGCCCTCTTCCTATTACCTTCTATTCTTATTTTTTTGGTTAACTTTATATAATTCTATAAATATCCTAATTAATAAGATCACTCGGCATTTAGCATGATATCACTTTTCTCTCACCTGACATTATTTAATTTTTTAATCTTTTTTTGTATTGTCCCATTCCCACAATGAACTGTATCTTTAATGATATAGCCATTAAACTTAATTATTCTTTAGTTTGTTAAACTTTACGTTAGTACTGTTGAATCCTATTGTTATTGGAAATATAGTAGTATTTGCTATATGTCCGTATTTGGTTGGTGTGTTTATACTCTATAGATTTCTTTTGTAAGGATAAGGGTGGTACATTATTGGTTCATATGATATGTCAATATCCAGTTTGTCTTGGATATTACTGTTACTGACTTACTTGATGTTGCCTGGGTCACATACTTGTATCTATTAATAGGTTTTCTCTGTATGCCAATATCTAGATTGCCTTTGTGACATTAACAATATTGTAGTTAATTCCCAGAGAACTAGGTCCTGGGCCAATTTACTGCATCTCCTCCTGCCATACTAAGAGGTCATCAGATCTTTGGAGAGAGGCAAAGGACTTTCGTAAGTCATCCTCTGAGTGGGTCACAGAAAAGCAGACTAAAGACTTTCCATTATAAGTGACTGCATCCCCAAGCACAAACTAAATCAAACAATCAATCAATCAATCAAACAAATAGCAACAGAAACATGAATAGACAAAGCAAGAATATGCCTCCCCAAGTTCCACTCTCCCAAAGCTGATCCATGAGGGGGTTAGGGGAGTAAACACAAAAGCCAAATCACTCAAAAGGGTAGTAGAGGAGATTAAAAAACAGATCAGTGAGGTGCTTGGAGAGATCACAGAAATTACAACTAATGAGATAATCAAGGTAATAAAATCCTCAGGGAACTTACAACAGAAGACACTAATAAAATGCTAGCTGAGCTAAACAGTTGACACAAAATATGAAAAAAAAACCCAAAAAACATTTTTCTTGGGGGCCGGGAGATGGCTCAGTAGAATAAATGCTTGCCTGGCAAGCACAAGTGCCTGAGTTCAATGCCTGGTTCTGCAAAAACAAAACAAACAAAAACACATTTCTCTCATTGTTCATGACAGTTTGTCTTTTGGGGCTGGGGAGACACCTCAATAAGCACTTGCCTGGCAAGCACAGGGTCCTGAGTTCAATCCCTGGTACCACAAAATAACAACAACAACAACAACAACAACAACAACAAAAACCCCACAAAACACGAACATTTTAGCAAACAATCAGAGTTCATGAAAAGGTTCTAAACAGAAAATCAGGAGATTAAAAACTGAGTAACAGAAGTGACCAAGGTAAAAACAGAGTATCACAATTAGACCAGGCGTGGTGGCACATGCCTATAATCCCAGCACTCAGGAGGCTGAGGCAAGAGGATCACTGAGAGTTTGAGGCCAACCTGAGCTACTTAGTAAGTTCAATGCCAGCCTGAACTATACAGCAAGACTATCTCAAAAAATAAAACAAGACAAAATCAGAAGACAAGAATGCTTTCAAAGTAAATAAATTGGGCTGGGGATACAGCTCAGTGGCATAAGCACCTGCCTGGCAAACACAAGGTCCTGAGTTTGATACCCAGTACCACCAAAGAAACAAACAAACAAAACAAAGTAAAGCTCAAAAAAGAGAACAAGAGAAATAAATACAGCTCAATGGCACAAGTGCCTGCCTGACAAGCACAAGGTCCTGAGTTCAATTCCCAATACTGCCAGCCCCCCAAATCAGAGTATAATCAATTCTTCAAGCTATCTAAAGAATATATGGGAAAAAATTGACATCCCTACTCCTGAAAAAATATAAATTAAAACCACAATGAGGTGATAATATCATTTTTGTCAATGCATATTAAAATAATGAAAAATAAATATTGGTGAAGATAGGGAAAAGGAATGCTAGTACACTGTTGGTGGAAATACAAAGTAATACAGTGCAGAAAACAGCATGAAGTTCTCAAAAAGTTAAAAATAAAATTACCCTATGATCCAACAATCACTACTAAATCACTACTAGATTTATATCCAAGAGAAATAGCAACAGTATGCTGAAGGATTCTGTACTGCACTGTTCACAGCAGCACTGTTCACACTAGGGATGACACACAACCAATGCACGTATGCAACAGCAGGTGAGTGGATTAAAAACATGAGACAACAGTCTGTCTCTCTGACATACTCAGCCTGAACAAAGAAAAAAATGCTGTTATTTATGGTAACACTGACAAATCTGAAGAGCATTCTATTAGGTGAAATAAGCCAGAATGAAGAAGACAACTACATTGTCTGATTTACAGTGGAATCTAAAAAAGTTAAATTCAGAGAAGCAGAGATTAGAATGTTGGTGGTTACCTTCAGCTTTATGGAGAAAAGCTGAGGAGATACTGGTCAAAGGACAGAAAACTTCGGTCAGGCCAAAGGAATAATTTCAAAAGTAATACTGAAAATTTGGAGGCTATAGTTATGTAACAATGATCACAAGGCAGGTGGTGTGTTGTGCATTTGTAATCCCACTATTCCACAGGTGGAGGCAAGAGGATTATGAGTTTGAAGTTTGCCTAATCAATCCCACGTAAAAATAAAACAAGAAGACCCACACTACATTCTTAAAAATCACTAATAGATCTGAAATCACCACAAAAATTAAGCATGTGAGGTAATACACAATGTACTCATTCTATAAACATCACATGACCCATGACATAAACATTTGTCAATTTTAAAAATTATTAGAAAAAAAATCAATGAAAGCATATAATATACTTAAGACACAAAAATCTCATGGGGGGGTGGGGTCTTGCAACTTAGTTCAAGCTGGCCTTGAGCTAGGTAGTCCAGACTGACCTCAATCCTCATAACTGCTGGAATTATAGGTGTGTATTACTGTGCTAGGCAAAAACCTCCATAATTTTATCAGACTTATTATGGATTCCATGCTATTTATAGAGTGTCTACTTATTTCATATGAGTAAGAATTTCCTGAAGTACATACTTGTTCTTACCTTTAGATTTTGGGATCAGCTCTCCACAGCTGAGTATCCGTACCTCAGCAAATGGTTTACTAGCTGCGTCTGTTTTCTGGTTTTCTATCTCTCTTACAACTTCTTGACCAGAGATCACTTGTCCAAAAACAACATGATGCCTAAAGAACAAAACAATGATGATTAAATAAAGGCCTCTTACTTTAATAGTAATTTAAAGAAGGTTATAAAATATTGGAAAAAAACTTTACCCATCTAAATGAGGAGTTGGTTTCGTTGTTCTTTTGGAAGTCATCAGACAAGAATAAAAACAAAGTCAGAGAAAAACAAAGTTAGCATCTCTAAAAAGGAAAAAAAAATAACTGTATTGGAAACAAAGTTGAAAACAAAGATTTTGTATACTATCTTAACAAAAGAACTGTATTATCCTAACCTTAAACAGAACAGAACACAAAATGTTTTCTTCTTTTTTTTGGCAGAACCGGAGATTGAACTCAGGTCTTGCACTTACCAGGGAAGCGCTTATTCCACTGAGCCATCTCCCTGACCCCATAAAATGTTTTCTATATGATGTATGTCTTAAAAGTTTTCCTGAATACAAAAGCAAAATTTACTCAATGTTGGAACCTGGGGTATAAAGTTGACATTTTGGTGTATTATCCATTTACATTTTCTGCATGTCACTGAGTTCTTATTGAATGTTCACAGTTGCAAAATGTTACACAAAACATAACAATATTTATTAAACCATGCTAACTGCTAATGAGTTTCGCATCAATACTTTTCATCTTAAGCCCTTTAAACTGCAGGAAATGGAAGTGTTGAGAGAAGTGAATGTGGCCATGTTCTGATGGCCCTCAGTCATATCCTGAAAAGTGATGCAAATAGTCTTTAAATTTTTCTTTTAAATGTATTTAGTATAAGTTCTACAGCGTCTCATTACACATATCAGACCCACAGAGACCCTTCTGTTTTCATCCTCCCTAGTGCTGGGATTACAGGCGCGTGCCACCACACCCTATCTGTCTTTAAAATTTTAAGTTTCTTGCCAACATCTACAATTTTGGGGGGGTAAAAAAAAAAAGGATATTTTCACAAGACACGGTGGTCTATGCCTAGAATCCTAGCTACCTAGAAGGCTAAGGCAGGAAGATCACAAGTTCAAGACCAGCAAGGACAATATAGTGAAACTCCAGGTTTCAGACCTCTTTGGAATATCTTTAACTTGGGTACCTGGAACATGAGAATAACTGACCAGAAGTGAATTTTGTGTATGGCACAGGGTGGGGAGGTAGTGTTACTGGAATTGAACCCCAGGACAAATGATCACTGAGCTACACTCATAGCCCTTTCTACTTTTTTGAGATAGGCTATCTCACTAAGTTTCCAGGTTAGTCATGAACTTGCCTCAGCCTCCTAAGTAGATGACTTTACAGGTATGTCCACCTATTGCCTTAACACATAGATTATTGTCCCAATAGCATTACTTATGCTACTTACATTGTCTAGGCTTTGAATTGTTACCCTGATATCAAGTGTAATTCATGTTGAGAAAGAACCCTAGATTAGAATTTGGGTCAAAACCTAAAACAAGAGTACAGAGGCACATACCTATTATCCCAGCTATTGGGAAGGCTGAGGTGGGAAGACATTTGAGCCCTAGAGTTCATCCAACTAGAGTACTAAACACAGCAACAGCCCCTTCTCACAACAAAGCTCCAATTCAAAACAAGACCTAAAATAAAGACTGTTTTATTTATTTATTTTTGCGGAACTGGGGATTGAACTCAGGTCCTTGCGCTTGCCAGGGAAGCCCTTATTCCACTGAGCCATCTCCCCAGCCCTAAAGACTGTTTCATAGCAAATCCATTTTGTTGTTGTTGCAATCTTCCCCCCATATATGAAAGAAGGCTGTTATTTGGTTATGTCCTAAAAACGTGTTGGGAGAATAAAGATAGGTAGGAGTAAGACTTATTAGTGCTTTAAAATCATATAAAAATGGCATTATAGGCTGCACAAGGTAGAACACAACTGTTTTGGAGGACCACCTGAACAGCTCTCCTTGAAAGAGCAACTGTCTCCATTTTGACTGAGCCTGACCCTATTTCCTCATATTGTTATGTACAGAGCTGGCTAGGTCTTCTGTTTATCCTTCAGTTGGCTTTAAGCAATGGATATTGGGGTCCAGCTGAGGTGATGGTGATAGTCTTTGAAGGTGGCATGCGTGTTTCCATGATAAACTTGCTGCTCTTTAATGTGTGCTGGGTCCGAACAGGACAGTAGAGCTAATGCTCCGCACCGCCAGCTGGGATTGAGCTTCGAGATAGAGGCTATGAATTTTTGGGGCCTGAAAGACTACATTAAAGCTGAAGCACCATACCCCCCAAAATATTAGATGCTATCTCTATGGCATAATAGTATAATGCAGATTACTCTCTCTACATAGACTCTTTGCATATGGCAGAGGTAAATTTAGGCCACCCACCTAGCTCAGCTCACAATGGTCACCTACTTCCCACAATTCTCAGTCAATCCTCCTCAAGCCCCCCCCACTGAATAAAAACCGGGTGAGGTCATGGGTCACTTTCTTTGTTCCGGGAATACATCTTTGTGGCTGAACTTAAGAGTCCCTTGACTCCCCAATAACTGAAAATACAATTTAGTGTCTTTCACTGTGGGTTGCAATGAAAGTGGTAGATTGGAATCAACTTGATGAGATTCCAATAATGTAACTTTGGGATTACAAATATTGGCTTCTTGGATCGAGAAGAGGACCTGGAAGTGACTCCTACAAACTGTAATCCCTGCACTCGGGAGGCTGAGGCAGGAAGGTCACCTTGAGTTTAAGGTCAGCCTGCACTACAGTGAGACTTTGCCCCCTTCCCCAAAGCATTAGAAATTTGGAAGGAACTTTCTAAGTTCACCATTGTTAAAGAACCTATAATAGTACTGAAGAAAATTACAGCATAGGTGTATTTTTAAGTTTACCTAACTTTGAAGTTAATTCTCTCCTGCTTCCTCACTGTAATATACTCAAACTTTAGGGGCTGGGGAGATGGCTTGGTGGAATAAGCGCTTCCCTGGCAAGCGTAAGGGCCTGAGTTCAATCCCCGGTTCTGCCAACCCCGCCCCCCCACCAAAAAAAATATATATACTCAAACTTTTCCTATAACCATGTAGAACTATAAAAACCTTGGTGTATAGAATGTGGGGGTACATGCCTGTAACCCCAACATTCTGGAAAGCTGAAGCAGGATGATCCGAAGTTTGGCCCCCAAGCTGGGCCAAATGAGAACCTATTTCAAAAAAATGGATGAGCTATAGCTCAGTGAGAAGGCCCTAAGATCAATCCTCAGCCTCAAAACCAACCAAACAAACACTCCCGTACATTGTTGGTGGAAATGTAAAATGGTTCAACTGATGTAAAACACATTTGGTAGTTCCTCAAAAAGCTACCTTATGACCCAGCAATTCCATTCCTAGGCATATAACCTCAGAACTGAAAATGGACTCAAGCACTTCAGCAGTATTCACAACTAGATAACACAGGTAAAAACAGCACAGATGACTGGACAAGCAAAAGGCTGAAGTGTTATTCAGCCACAAAAATAATACATTTTTGTTATATATTATAAGAACGAACCTTGGAACCTGCTAATTGAAACAATGCAAAGTAACTGAACGTTTTTTCCAAATGAATAATTTAGAACAAGGAAGTTCACAGTCAGAAAGTAGATTTAAGGCTACTCAGGAGGCATAGAGAAGGAGAATGATGGAACAGCTCTAGAAATACAATGTATTTTTTTGTTTTCTGAGATGGGATCTCACTACTTAATCCAGGCCAGACTTGAACTTGCATCAATCCTGTTGCTTCAGTCTCCCACATGCTTGGATTACAGACATGCACCACCACACTTGGTAATAATTTCTGTTATGCTGAAACATCTGACCAGTATTTATATTGTACAGAAAGGAGCTCTGCAGAGCTCCTTTTTACACTCTTATCTGCACTTTCTAATTTTTCTTTAAAAAAAAAAAAAGAAAGAAATGAAAGAGTTGGCTTTAATTTAAAAATACAGAAGAGTTGTTTTCATTTGAAAATAAAGAGCTAAGATGAATACATGACAATTAAGTGAATACAAGAGCAATTACAGGTCCCCTGATCACAATTTTTTTTTTTTGCAAACACAATTAGAAAAGTTTATTAGTACTAAATTTGAGATAACAAATAAATCTGGGTACATAGGTAAATTTATAAATACAGAATCTGTGAATAACAAGGACTGTCTGGTTTTTACTCTGCTTTCTGTTTTGTTATTTATTCTTTTAATGCGCAATCCCTTAATGACAGAGGATATGTTCCAAGACTCCAAGTGGATGCCTCCAACTACAGTCCTGAATCCTATATACAGTAAATGTACACACCTAAGATAAAATTTAACTTATAAAGAACACATAGAGATTAAAACAAAAAATTTAAACTAAGAAAATTACACTAATAAACTGTTTAGATAATGGTCTCTCAAAATATTGTACTCATCCTTCTTGTGGTAGCATAAGCTAATACGACACCTACGTGCTCAAATGAAATGATTTAGAGGCACTGTGATGTAGCCTTAGAGTAGCAGTAAGGGCTACTTGAACACACGAGTATGATACCTTGACAGTGTAACCAGGGAGGTTACAAAATAACAGGTAGGTAGTCTATACAGTATTAACAGCATGGCCAAAATGATGATCCACATTAGAGTACTGTAATATTTCATGAAGTCATCAGAATTTAAAACTTAAGAATTACTCATTTCTAGAATTTTCCATTTACTATTCATAGACCATCACTAACAATGGGATACAAACTATGAAAAGCAGAACTATATATATAAGGTAGGACCACTATCTCTCAGTAGGGATTCCAAGATTAGTTTGTTGATTATAACCTATTATTATTATTTATTTTGATGTACAAACTGTCCTAATTTGGCCAACAGTTATTTTAAACTAGCTCTCATGTTCTTTTAGCAAAGCTTCATCATTTGAAAACTTGACCAGCACAGCTTATCAACTCTTTCAAAAATTCTTTCCTCCTCATTAAACACCCCTCAATTAAAAGATCATCTCCTACTTATTAGTGATCAATGGAGGACACATAGATAACAACTTTGAGGTACTTAACCATCAGATCATAAATACTTACATGAAGAACTGTGATCCATTTGTGTCTTTCCCCCTATTGGCCATTGACAAAAGAAATTCTTTGTTGTGTTTAACAGCAAAACTCTCATCTAAAGAGAAGCAACAATTTCAGTTAAATTTTGAGTATAAAAATTCATTTTAGGCCCTTTTTTTTTTTTTTGGTGGAACCAGGGATTGAACTCAAACCCTTGTGCCTGCCAGGGAAGCACTTATTCCACTGAGCCATCTCCCTGGCTAAAAATTCATTTTCAAACCACTTTTTAACAGGTATATATTCCTTAGTTCCAAATAAAGCTAGGTTACATAATTAGGTTATGAAGAATCAAATGAGTTGATTTTTTTCTGTTTTGCTGTATTTGTCTATCCTTTGTTTGCCTACTATGTTCAAGGTCTTGGGTTAGAACCCAGCACCACACACACATAGAGAGAGCAAGACAGAACCCAACAGGATTCTTTCATATTTCACCTGCTTCACTTGTGAATGAGAAGAAGCACACATAGTACTATTTAAATTGGACTCATTGACTTAAAATGCTCTGTAATATCATTCATTAAAAACACTGACTTAGGGCTGGGGAGATGGCTCAGCAGAATAAGCACTTGCCTGGCAAGCACCAGGGCCTGAGTTCAATTCCTGGTTCCACCAAAAAGAAAGAAAAACAAAACATAGACTTGTCTTCCAAACTACAATTAGAATAGGAGAACAAGACATGTGGAATTTCAAACAAAATTTCACTGAATATCAAATGTGACAGATGGAAGTCACACATTCCCAGGTCTATAGAATTCTAAATGATCTTTATATCACTAAAAAACTCGATAGAAATTTAAATTTCAAAAAATTTGACCAATTTAGAATATCACAGATTTTGAAAGAGTTTTTCACAGAAAACAAATATATGGGCTTGGTGTGGAAGTATACACCTGTAATTTCAGCACTTGGAAGCCTGAGGTAGGAGGATCTATGAGCTGAAGGCTGGTCCAGGCTACAAAGTGAGTTCAAGGCCAGTGTGAACTAGAGGGAGACCTTGTCTCAAAACAACAACAAAAACTAAAAAGAGGGGGAAAAAATCTCCACAAGAAATAGTAAATAAGAACACTGTAAAAATTTGAATATTTTTACTAAGAAATACCCAAGAACCCCCTTTAATAAAGGTTAAGACACTACTATGGAAGTTCCTATTATTTCTTTTCTTTTTTTTTTTTTTGTGGTACTAGGGATTGAACTCAGGGCCCTTTATTTTACTGAGCTATCTCCCCGGTCCAGCAGCTCCTATTCTAGCACTATGATCCTAACAGTTCAGAAAATAGTAATAAAACTCTTCTTGAAATAGTAAGATGTATTAATGGCCTAAAATCAAAATAAACCTTATCTATATAAGAAGTGTAAGGCTGGCCAAATAGCTCAGCAGATTAAAGTGCCTGCAAGCCGGCTGAGTGACTGGGGGTTCAATCTCTGCGACTGCCCTGCAGGCCCAGTCTCCGGGGCGCACTGAAACAGCAATTGAGACTCGGCATGTGGCCCTTCCCTGTAATCCCAGCTCTTGAGAGGCTGTAAACAAGTGGATCACTATGTGTCGGATATAGTAGTGAGACCCTGAACACCCTGTAGATCATTCCCTAACATACAAATAAATAAATAAAAATTGGGGCTGGCGAGATGGCTCAGTGGTCTAAAGCACCTACTTGGAACGAGCTTGGCAAAGCACAGGGACCGCGGTTCCATCCCCCAGCACCACATGCCAGCCAGCCCCGCCCCCTGGTGGGTTGAGCTGGCCACACACACACACACACACACACACACACATAAATAAAAAAAAAAATTAAAAAAAATTTTTTTAAAAATAAATAAATAAATAAATAAAAATTAAAAAATAAAAAAGTGTATACAGCTGAGGATACAGCTCAGTGGCATAAGTGCCTGCCTGCAAGCACGAGATCCAGAGCTCAATCCCCGGTACCAAAAAAATAAAAATAATAATTATAGTAACAATAGAAGTGTATATATAACATTTAAGAAAAGGAACCTATTATGATAATTTGATATTAGCAGGCTATTTAATGAATAATCCTGTAATAAAGATCAGATGAGTATTAAAATCATAAATATAAATATTTTTACCTTCAAAAAATCCTCCATAAATAGACTCTCCTCCTCGTCCATTTCCTAAGAATGAAAAACACAAAACTCTTAGAACTCACAAGATATTAATGCCTTGATGGCGATGCCAAAACAAAATATTCCCCACAAACTACTTCAAATAATTCTGAAACAATGATTTGTAAGAGTACAGCGACTCATGCAATTTGCAGTTGTAGCAATACCCCAGTGTGCCTCTGCCTATGGGGAGGCTGAGTTTCAAGGATCACAAGGGAGACCAGCCCCAGGGAATGAGTGACCCTCTGGGATGCAGCTTGGCAGTGAGCACCTGCCCGGCACATGGGCGGTCCTGGACTCGCTCCTTGGCACTGTTTTCCTCCAAAGATATTCATCTAATGTCAAGAACAATAAGATCTCAAATGGCTTTTTTTGTTTTTTGAGTCAGGGTCTTGTTATTCCAGGCTACATTTCAACTCACTACACTTAGAACTTGCAGTGATTCTCCTGTCTCAGCCTCTCAAGTGCTGGGATTATAGATGTGTCCCACCATGCATGGACCAATTACTTTCTTTCCCCTACAATACTATGGCAATAATATAACAAGGCCTATTAAGTATTCATCAATACACTGAGCTTTCAAATTGTAATGACTCTGTCACAGGTATTTTAACAGGAATTAATGTCCAAAAAAAAAAAAGAAAGAAAAGAAAAAGGAATTAATGCCAGGGTGGGGGAGATAGCTCAGTGGCCTAAGTACCTGTCTGGCAAGCACAAGGACCTGGGTTCAATCCCTGGTACTGCATGCTGCGCCAGCCCCAGAAACCCTGGTGCACTGTGTCGGCCACCAAAACCAGGTGTGTGCACACTCGTAATCCGAGCATTGGGGAGGCTGAGATAGGAGGATTAGTACAAGTATAAGTTGTGTATAAAGACTCTGTACCAAACAAACAAATGATTTTTTTTTTTTTTAAGAAATGGGTTCTTTTTTTTTTTATTTATTACATTTATTTATTGTGTGTGTGTGTGGCCAGCTCAGCGCACCAGGGGGCGGGTCTGGCTGGCATGTGGTGCTGGGGATCGAACCGCGGTCCCTGTGCTTTGCCAAGCTTGTTTCAAGTAGGTGCTTTAGAACACTGAGCCATCTCTCCAGCCCCCAAACAAATGATTAAAAAATAATCTTACAAAAAGGAATGTCAATTTTCTTCAGAGTGTCTTTAAAAAGTGTAGTATTGGGGCTGGAGAGATGGCTCAGTGGAATAAGCGCTTCGCTGGCAGGTGCAAGGGCCTGAGTTCAATTCCCGGTTCCGCAAAAAAACTGTAGTATTTATATAATAAAAAGGCCTAGGTAAATCTACACTAAAGATTACCAGTTGTGACAAAAATTAAACATGTACACTGACCAATTTAGAGACATTTTGTATCCCAAATTACATTTCTAAAATGAAAAGTGTTCCATTTAACATAGTTTTGAAGTTGGGTTAGGAAGCAGCTCACTGGGAGAGCACCTGGGTAACACAGACAGGCTCTGGGTTCAATCCCCAGAAGCACACCCTCAAAAGTGTGATTATCTGCTTTGTGCTTTCTTCTTTTATATATGTCTAAGTGTATGACCAAAGATTACACAGAATGAGAACAATATCAGAATAGACCTGTCTAGCCTTACCATCTATATAATATTTAATAAAAATATATGAGTTTCATTCAATCAGTCTCACCTTCACTGAAGTCACCACCCTGAACCATAAAATCTTTAACAACTCTGTGAAAAAGACAACTCTTATAGTGTAATGGCTTCTGGGTTGATTTCCCTGTCCCCTTTTCTCCTGTAAAGAAGAAAAATTAGTTCAACATTCAGTAGATAAGAAATGAATAAAGTGTATAAAAATAAAATTAACCATGAAAGACACTGCCCTGTAAAATAGGCCTGCTTTTGAATTTTATAGACTTTTTTAAATCAGAGAATTTTCATTCCTTTTCAGAATTTTTTTTAAAAATCCATTTTAAAATTCTTGAGATTTTTCTGGAGTACAAGAATAAATTTCAGAGGTGAGGAAAGATTGAGGGAAGGGGAGAAGAATGTGGGAAAAAAAGAATCAAGTTATATCTTGTACAGATGCAAATTCTCAATGATGAATATAATCATTATGTATATCTAAACTCTACCAATAAACTCTGAGAAAAAAAAGTCAATTTCTGCTAAAACCCCAGTATAGTCAGCATTTCTAGGAATTATAAGGCCCGACGAAAGTTTAAACAAACCTGTACAAAGACAACGAAAGTTCTCGCATGTTTTGGGGCAAACATCAGAAAACAATTCAAAGACCACTCTTCCAGCTGTAAAAGAAAGTAGCTGGTTTAAGAATCTTTACTAATTTAAAGTACTAAATTCTAATTTATAAATGTTAACTGCAGTAGGAACATTAATAGTCTTACCAGGTTGATTGTTAATGGCAATATCAAAAAAACATCGAGGACGCTGAACCTTTATTCCCATGGTTCCAAAACTTCAATCTGTGAGTGAAATACAGTTTTAGGCAAGCAGGCTAAAACAGCAAAAATTTTTCATGCATACCTGAAAAAAAGTTCTACAGAATATAAATTAGAAATTAGTTTAAATTTATTTTATTTCCATGAGGTAAATCATATGATTACTGCTTGCTTTGCAGAAATCAGATTGCATTTTGTGAGGAAAATAGAAAACATTTGAAAGACGAGGGTTAAAAACCAGGCACAGTCACTCATACTTATAATTCCAGGACTCAAGAGGCTGAGACAGGTATCACTGCAAGTATGAGGGCAGCCTGAGCTACCTAATGAGTTTAAGGCCAACTTGGACTACACAGGGAGACCCTGTCTGCAAAAACAAAAAGCAACAAAATAAGAAGGATGAGGCTGAGCCATTACCATATAATCAAATTTTATATTGGCCAAATAGAGACCATCAACTCAAATGAACCAAAGTTATATTAAGTTTGTAAGACTAATAAACTGAATAGGCAGATTATCTTTAAATTAAAAAAAAAAAAAAGACAAGGATAAATTAAGCCAAGTCAATCCTTTTACTCCCAGTAAATAAAAACAAGATTTATGATTAAGATTAAAACATCACACTTTTGGCTGGGGAGATGGCTCAGTAGAATAAGCACTTCCCTGGCAAGCCCAAGGGCTTGAGTTCAATCCCCAGTTCTAAAAAAATTAAAAAAAAAAAAAAAAATCACACTTTTAACAAGTAAAACATTCAAATTCCTAAACAATATGAAACACAAATTATCTACAGAGAAAGTAGGGTTTTTGTTTAATTTGGGACAAAGTCTCACTGTGTAGTTCAAGTTGGCCCAGAACTTACTATGTCACTCAGGCCAGCCTCAAACTCTTGGCAATCCTCCTGCCTCAGCATACTGAGTACTAGGATTACAGGCATGTACCACCATGCCCCACCTAAAGTAAGGTATTTTAATGATAGTAGTATATGGCAGATATAAAGTCTTAGAAAAAAAGTACAACATTAAGTTTTACATATGACAGGGTCATTTACAGGGTCTCATTTTTCTAAGCATGAACAACAGCCTTTATTGATGTGATAGTATGAACTCCAATGAGTGATGTGATAGTATGTCACCAATGAATGACATACTGTGTAACATTCTTGGTCTACATAGCAGATACCCTATCATTTTGCAGACATTTTTCTGATAATGCATTTATTCGACAGACTTAAAATGCTGAATTGTAGTACTTGGTGGAAGGCAAAAGAGTAAGATAAAGCAGTAAGTACAAATAGCATCCAAACTGACAGACCGTAAAAGTGACAGTTTTATGTGCTCAAAACAGACTAAATGAAATGGATATGCTTTTAAGGCAGTTATCATATCTAAACTAAGCTGGTAGTTCAGCAAAAAGCATACACTATTTTAGGTCCAATGAAACTATGATTTATATTCTCAATCCAGGTTATGTTCTTCCCCTCATCACTTTTTTTTTTTTTTTTTTGGCAACTAGGAATCCGTTATTTTTGTTCTATTTTTTTTTATTTTTTTTTTTTTTTTGGCAACTAGGAACTGAACAGAGACCCATCCATCGCAACGCATGTGTGCTACCAGAGGCACCCTTAATTAAAAATTTTATGAGGAGAACTAGAGTATAGATTGCCATGCAGTTACAGGAAACAATATAGAGGTCCAGTGTAATATAGGCCCTCCTTGGTATGCTTTGGTTAAGTGCTCCAGAAAGTCCACAGGCTTGGGCACAAGCTAGTGATATTGGGAGACAGTAGCACCATTAGGGGAAAAGGCCTAGGTGGGAAAAAGACTGTAAAACCCCAGCCTTCTCCAATTATCCTTTGCTTCCTGGCATGCATGGTCCGAAGCAGTCCCCACTCTCCAATCTTAGACTGGGACCTCCAAAACTGTTTAAATAAAACCTTTCCCTTATAAATTACCGCATTATTTCATTATAATAAAGCTGACATAATCCTGGTAAGAATATTTCCCAAAACTGTTATTGTAACAAGCACAAATGATGCTGATACAACCCACCCATCTTAATTCACAATTTACTTATACTCATCTAACTCTACAAAAATTTTTGCTTGTTACTTGGGACATGGTCTCACTATGTAATCTAGGCTGTCCTCTAACTCACAGCAATCCCTGTTTCAGCCTCCTAAGTGCTGGGATTACAGATGGATTACTAGCACCACCATGTCCAGTTAGTTAGTTAGTTAGTTTGTTTATTTATTTATTTATTTATTTATTTATTTATTTTTGCGCGCACGCGCGCGCGCATGCATGTGTGTGGCCAGCTCAGCCCACCAGGGGGCGGGGCTGGCTGGCATGTGGCACTGGGGATTGAACTGCGGTCCATATGCTTTGCTAAACTTGTTCTAAGTAGGTGCTTTAGATCACTGAGCCATCTCACTAGCCCCAGTTTTACACAATTTTCTATCACTATCCTTATACAGCCCATCGCTTGATAAATGCATGAGGGCTAGAGATGAGCTCAGTAACAAAGCACTAGCTCAGCAGGCTTAGGGCCCAGGTCAATCCTCAGCACAAGGGACACCAAGGATGGGACAAAAGCAAGACAGCAAGGGACTGACAGTACCACTTTGTCCAAACTACCAACAATTTGAAAAATACAAATTACATGTATTCATCCATTTAATGCCAATCATATGAATTAAGGATTAAATTATACACAAGCTTATGTTGTATTCAAAATCAGCCCAAGGGCCAGGAAGACAGCTTGGCAGCCTAAGTGCCTGCCTGGCAAGCATAAGGACCTGGGTTCAACTCCCAGTAACACATACTGTGCTGGCCCCGGAATCCTGGGCATGCTGTGCCAGTTATCAAAGCCAGGTGTGGTGGTGTACACCTGTAATCCCAGCAGCACTGGGGAGGCTGAGACAGGAGGATCACTACAAATCTGAGCTGCGTAGTGAGACCCTGAACCAAATACATAAAAATATTTAAAAAGATAAAAATCAGCCCAAGGGTTATGGCATTCACTTTTGGCATTATTGCATGAAAAAAAATTTTTCTCGTAACTTCCTCTATTTTAAATTTCTAATAAATACTATGAAGAACAGAATTTTGTTTTGCATAAAGCAAAACTAGAAAGAAAGGATATCTTCTGCCAGGGAGATAGCTCAGTAGAGTAAGCGTTTGTTTGGTAAGCACAAGGGCCTGAGTTCGATCCCTGGTTCCACCAAAAAAAAAAAAAAAATGATAAAACATTAAGATTTTGGGCCAGGGAGATAGTTCAGTAGAATAAGCACTTGCCTAGCAAGCGCAAGGTCCTGAGTTCAATCCCTGGTACCACCAAAAAAAAAAAGATACCTTTTATTTTTTATTTTTTTGGCGGAACCAGGGATTGAACTCAGGCCCCTGCACTTGCCAGAGAAGCGCTTATTCCACTGAGCCATCTCTCTGGCCCCTAGAGGATACCTTTTAATCCTTTAGCATATTACAGACACAGATTTACTTACAAATAATTAAGCAACATTATGTACATGTAATAACACCCCATGATAAATATAATCATTATGTACTGCATATATGTACTAATTTAAAATTTAAAACAAAAGAGCAACATGGGACTGGAAATGTGACTCAGTGGTAGAGTTCTTGCCTTACATGCATAATGCCTTGGGTTCAATCCCCAGTACACCCCCCCCCCAAAACATTGATGTTCTGCCAAGTTGGTTACATTGGTTTTATGTGCTTATTGTTTCTATTCCTATACATCTGGATGGGGATATCCTGAATCTACAAATGTGATTCAGAAAAATTATTCAAAAAAAATTAAATCAAGACTTAGTATGTCATCATCTGCATTTTTTATTTATTTTGGTCTTTTTGAGACAGGGTCTTGCTATGTAGTTCAGGTTGGCCTTAAGCTCACTTTGCAGCCCAAGCTGGTCTCAAACTCACAATGATCTTCCTGCCTGAACCTCCTGAGTGCTGAGTGCTGGGGCTACAGGCGTGCACCACCACATATCGCTCAAGGCCAGGCTGCACTACATAATGAGGCTCTGTCTCAAGTAAAAAATAAAATAAAAAATAAAAATGCCCCTACCATCATTTACCCGAAATGTCATACCATAGATCTTAAGGGTCTGAACTAGTACTGTTCAAGGGAAGTATTTCTCCTTCCCATCCATACAATTTTGCTACCGTTTCTCTGCACTTTATTTCAGTTGCCTTGTAATTCCTGCTGTTCTTTGGCCCCTGCCACCTTTCCCTGTAAATGTCCTCTACATTTGTTTCCTCTAAGGAGAATGTCTTTTGACACCAGATCTTCACACAATCAACCCTCACTTAACTCACTACTAGAACCTCTTGTTCAGAGGCCATTTCTACTAAAAGCAAACCCCATTCTCCAACACTTACTATTTTCTTGTTCTGCTTTTAAGCTTCTTCCCAACACTTACTGCTTATTGGTAAAATTTGAGTTTCTTTATCTATCTCTTCTCCCTAGAATACAAGCTTCATGGTCTGACAAAGTTTTCAAGTTTTGCTCCCTTTTTAATTCCTAATACTACAGACTGTGCTTAGCATATAGCAGGTAATCAGTATTTACCAAATGAATGAATAAATTTAAGAGGACAGTGACACAACATTGTCCCAGGAGTGATGGTGCATGCCTGTCATCTAAGCATTCAGGAGGCTAAGGCAGGGGGGCCTGCTCCAATTCTGAGGCCGGCCTGGGCTACATACAAGAGTTTAACCAACCTGAACTATATAGCATGACTGACTAAAACAAACAAACAAACAAACAAAAAAAAAAAAAAACAAGAAAAAAGTGAAACACAAAACATGAAAATTTGCAATAGAACTGTTCGCTTAATAGAAGAACAGTTCAATAAAATATGATACAAACACATTATTTACACTATGGAACTATGTAGAGTCACCTATACAAATTCAGGGCCAGGGATGTTAAGTGGTGAGGTTTTACATTGTATGCTTGAGGCCCTGGATTTTATTCAAAGCAACACAAAAAGGTTTTCT